CTCTTTTTGTTTCAATGCGTCCCCGCCCCCCCCCATCTCGGCCGCGCCCATGCCGCCGGCCATGATTTGCGTCCCCCTTCCTTGTTGGACGCTCCCCTCTTGGACGCCCTTGGTGAGAGGGAGAAGGCCTTCTCGGAAGGTGGCGGGCTTCTCAGAAGGCATCCGGCCTTCAGAGAGGTGTTCTGCGTCTTCGGGGAAGGCTTAGGACATTTTTCAGAAGGTAAGAGGACTTCCGAGCCTTTGAGAAGGGCCGCCCCTTCTCACTTCCCCCTGGGCTCGCCGCCAGCAGAGAGGAAAGCAGCGCAGAGATCCGAAGCTCCTAACAAAACAAATCGGAGCGGCCAGTTTGGGAGTTCTTGTCGGCCCCTTGGGGCCCTCAACGGGCCCGGGGACCGTCGGCAAACGACTCGGGATGAGAGAGTTGTCCTGGGGATGTTGTCCGGACCTTGGGGGGGGGTCCACGCATCGAAAACATTGGAGCGCCGGGTGCTTGGGACGTCATCTCGGAGGAGGACCCGCCGAGACCGCGGCGGCCTCCCTGGCGTCGTCCGCCCTCTTGGGGGCCTCCTGGAGGCTCCACGTCGCCACGGCTGGATTTCCGCCTCGGAGAAGGGCGCTGGTCTCGAACGGGATCAGGCGGTGCGGGAGAGCCGCCGGTGTCTCAAGCGGCCCCCCTCCGACGAACACAGCGGGGGTGCGTTTTCCCCATCCACGTGTTTGGCTTTTAGCGCTCCCGCCTGTCTGGTAGAATCGATCCGCTGGCACGCCCACGAGTTTCCAGGCGCCGGCTGCGGGTGCCCTCACCTGCCACAAACATTGGATCTGTCAATTGATGTCTCACCTTGTCGAACAGCAGTCCTACCGTATGATGCAAGCTGATAAGAGCCTTGCGGGATGACGTATATCGGCGGCGCGCCCAGGGGGGAGGCAGAGGCGGCTGGCCTTCGCAGAATGCGGCGGGGCTTCTTAGAAGCCCTCTGGCCTTCTGAGAAGTCACCTGTGGCTTCGGAGAAGGCCTAGACCTCTCGAAAGGCCCGAGGCCTTCTCTGAGCCTTCTCAGAAGGCACGTCCCCTGTGCCGTCCCCCCTCGGCTCGCCGCCGAGTATTGCGCACCTTCGGCTCGAGGGAGTCGGATTCCCCTGGCCGCGAGGTCTGGCCGATCGGAGCCTCGTGCAGAAAGAAGTGCGATCGTCGGCCCGCGCGCCTCCGGAGGGGGACGGGTGTGCGGAGATCCTTGGTCGGCTGGGCAAACAGGTGTTCGGAGGCCCCCCTGGTCGCCGGATGCGACAGGAGGTGGCTCGAGGGAGGAAGAACGATGACTATGATCAAAAGTCGTGGGAGCTTGTCGACGTCGACCTAGGTAATGGTCCACACCAGCCGTCGCCGACTCGCGAGGATGATCCACGAATTGACGATGACCACGATGGACGCTGACCCAGATCGTCGCGGTCGTTGTGCGCACAGCCCCAGTCGGGGCCCCCGCTGCCTCCCCCTCCAGCGGCAGCCCAAGACCGCTGCCTCCGTGTCGGCACCGGGGTGCGCGGCGCGCGGCAGGCTCGCGCCGCCTCGGCACGGCGGCGACGCCGGCGGGGGCGTGCGGGGGCCAGGTGCCGCTCTCCAGGGCGGGGCCTCCCCGTCGAGGGAGCAACGCCAAGGGGGGGCTGGAGGGCTCAAGGGGGGAGGCGTCGACCCCCAGCCGACGGGGGCGCGCGATGCCCCGCCCCGCCCAGGACGGCGCGGATGCGCCGTCGGAGGCCTTTTGCCGATCTGTCGGCGAGGCATCGCCCATTCCAGCTCGACGCTGCCCCCCCTGAGAGCTGCGCCCTCCCCCCCCCCGAGCGTTCCCCCGCTCGGCGGCGAGCCCGGTGGGGAAGTGCGAAGGGGCCGGCCTTCCCAGGAGCCTCGGAAGTCCTTCGACCTCGTGAGAAGTCGTCCGAGTCTTCCCCGAAGACACAGAACATGCCTCAGAAGGCCGGAGCGCTTCTGAGAAGACCCGCCGCCCTCTGAGAAGGTCGTCGCAGTCGCGCTTCCCCCGCTCGCTTGCCGCCGAGCCCCCCCCCTTGGAGCTGCCCCCCTTCCCCCCGAGCGTTCCCCCCCGTCGTCGAGGCAGCGGGGTGCCGACCGTGCCTCTGGTCTCGGCCCGAGGGCCCGCGCGGGGGGGGGGAGTCGAGGCCCGGCGGAGGCTCGGCGGAGGCCCAGCGCAAGCGAGGCCCGGCGGAAGCTCAGCGAGGCCCGAGGGCCCGCGCGGGGGGTGGGAGTCGAGGCCCGGCGGAGGCTCGGCGGAGGCCCAGCGTGAGCGAAGGGGCGCCTCCAAGAACGCGCCGGCTCTTTCTAGAGTCCAGGCCTCCCAGATGGGGTCCGAGTAGATGGGGTCGGAGGCCCGGCGGAGGTTCGGCGGAGGCCCAGCGTAAGCGAAGGGGCGCCTCCAAGAGCGCGTCGGCTCTGTTTAGAGTCCAGGCCTCCCACAGGGGGTCGGAGTGATTGGGGTCGGAGGATCGCACCGCATCGCCGATGCATCGACGATGCGGCTCGATGCGGAGCCCGATTTTATCCACGCCGACGTCGCCGATGCGTCGCCGACGTCGGCGATGCATCGCCGATGCATCGCCGATGCATTGGCGATGCGGCGCGATCGTCCGACCCCATCTGCTCGGACCCCATCTAGGAGGCCTCAGCTCTCGGGTCGGACGAAGGGGGGGAAGATCAGAATGGGCACGGCGAGGAGGAGCTGGTCGGCGGGCCCGATAGCCCTCTGCCAACGACGCAGGGGGCTCAAGCAGCTCCTTAATGACGGTGAGTTTTGAAGGCTTGGAAACCTGACACGTCGTCGAAGGGGATCCCTGAGTCCTGGGCGCCCCCCGTTTAGGAGACGACGCCGCACGGTCTGCGGCGAGGAGGATGGACACGGCGAGGAGGACGAGGAGGAGGTTGTTGAAACGGAGGGGGAGAGCCAAGGAGGGGCTTTCCAGGAGTGGGCGTGTCGCGCGCCCGGATCGGCGCGGCAAAACTTGCTGCGGGCCGCCGTGCCCCCGCCGCGGTGTCGCCGCCGCGTGCCTCTTCTGGTGAAGGGCGCGCGCCAGGGCTCGCTGGCGAAGACCATATCCGTGTCCGCGGCCTCGCGGGCCAGGACCCTGCAGGCCGCGACCCCCCGGATGCGGGGCGTGCTTTTTCGCGGATGCCCTGCGGGGAGCGCACCCGTGAGGCCGCGTGTCCCCGAGATTGCGTCCCAGGGTCTTCCAGACCGCGAGGGCGAGGATATGGATACGTTCGCCGCTCGTGAGGGGTGGGGGGGGCGGTGGAAACGGTTGCGTGCCGCTGGTTTCGGCACCAGTGCCCAGCGCTTATCGCGGTCCTCGTTGCGCGGCCGCTTCCGGCTCCAGGAGGTGCGGCTACACACACACACACGACAAAACCATATTACAAAGATAACGACATGGACATACGGTGCCAGCGTTGGTTAAGGAATGCGCCTAGGAGGTTTCAGACCCTGCGGGATTCCTTATCTGATAAGAGTGCCAGTGATAGCCATGATAAAACCTCAATTGGTGTTCCACCGGCTTTCAGGCTCTGGCTTCCTTGTCCAAGTGTTCTTCATCCAGTGCCCTCACGTATGCGAGCAGAACGACATGGACATAAGCGTTCGGAGGTCCGCGCGCAGATGTCTTGGATCGGCGTTCGGCCCCCACCCGTGGTAGCCACGGGCGTCGCCCCTGGCGCGCTTCGCACGCCAAGGGGGGGGGGGGGGGGCGGCACCATTCAAAGCCAGGACCACCAAGCATGAGCTCTGGGGCCGCGCGTGGGGGAACAAAAGGCCGCGCCGACCCACGGCTCCGGGTCTAGCGGGCGCTCCAACGCTCAGCCACGCGCAGAGGGGGGTATTTAGGGGAAGGGGGCAAGGCTTCTTAGAACGCGCTGGCCTAATTTCCAGATGTAAGGCCAGCGCCTTCTGAGAAGCAGTCTCCTTCTAAGAAGCCTTCCCCCTCCCCCTTACCCCCTTTGTGCGCGCCGCCAGGACACGTGGGCCCCTGGACCTCTCGACCCTTTCCTTGGGGCCGGCTTTCCATCCTGAGCTGTTTCTGTTGGCGGCCTTGGGCGCCAAAGCGGGGACCCGGAGGCAAAAGAGGGCGAAAAGTCAGCCGCCTCGACTTTTGCGGCCAGGCCCTTGTACGGAGCGCTCCTGAAGGGCTTCGCCATCCAGGAATCGAGATATCCAGGTTCTTCGGCAGAAGGTGGCCGAAAACCGGCGGGAGCTGGCGAAAGTAAGACGGCGGAACAATTCTTCCCATCTGACAGCATGCATTGTCCAAATGGGCAACATTTTGCTGACAAATGACAAGAATTTGGGTCAGAAGGGATGCGAAGGACAGCAATTCGTGTTCCACATGAACAGGCACTGCTGTTGGGCATCGTACCCATGATTTCCGTCCCCATTCTGGCCGCTCGTGGTCGCGGAGGGGGGAGAGGATAACAGGACCGAACAGTAGACGTGGGTGTACATAGATGTTCGGTGGTCTCGAGGGCATGCACTGCGGGAGCGTTCGTATCACGAGGCTGACCTCACAAACCGGGGGATCGTAGTCGTGTACGTGGCTGGGCGGGTTCCCCAGGACGGGTTGTAAAAGTGGCTCCCGCTCCATCGCGCGCGCGCGAGCCGCCATCCCGTGAAGCGTCCAGGACCCTCCTGGTCTTTCTCTCTCTCCCTCTTTTTCGGTCCCGCCCTTCCTTCCTCCCTCCACCTCTCCGCCTGCTCCTCCTCCTCCTACTCCTCCTCCTCCTCCTCCTCCTCCTCCTCCTCCTCCTCCTCCTCCTCCTCCTCCCCCCCAGCGCGAGCTCGGATTGCACCTCTTCGAATGGCATGGGCGCGAAATTACGTGCCAGGCGGACGGGCCCGAGTGACATTGGAAGTGACATTGATTGATGTGATTGTGGAAGAAGAGAAGAACCTCTCTCCCTCCCAGACTCTCCCTCTCTGCCGCCCGTCCACGGGCCCCGCGCGGACGGAGGAAGCCCAAGGAGGGGACGTTGCAGAAGAGGCATTTCAACCCGAAGCAGATCCAGGCGGCCCCTCCTCCTCTGCCTCCGCATGGGGGTTTGAGGTGGCCCAGCACTGGTTCCGGCGCGGGGGGGGGGGGAAGAGGCTCGAGGCTCTGGAGTCGAGAAGGTTGTTGTGTGTTTTTGTGCGGCTTCCAGGTGGCGTGTTCGGGCCATAGGACCATCAAAAACGGATCTGGGGTGATGCAACCTTGCACCAGATGGGCCCGAGGAGGGGTCTTGGGACCGACGGATTTGCCCATATCTCCATCCACAGTAGGAGATGATGATGGCGGTGCGTTCCAGGATTCCCAGGGTGCCCTAAAGTTCCGCACGGTCTCCACAAACGAGGACCGCTGTATACGGTGGGGGCGTTGATTAAGGAATGTGCCCAGGAGGCTGCAGACCCTGGAGGATTCCTTATTTGATGATGGCGGCGGTGATATCCGTGGCCAAGCCTCAATTGGAGTGCCACCGGCCTCCAGACCCTGGATTCGTTATCTAAGGGTTCCTTATCCAATGCCCCCACCGTATTCCGGAATCCTGGAACGCTCGCATCCCGAGCCAATCGCCTCATGACGCCATTGTCGTCTTATCTCTGCCGCTGGGCGGCGCCCTCGCCCGAGCCTTGGTCTCAGGCAAGTAGGTGCGTAGACTCCGACTCCTCGGGAGTACCCCCGCTGCGCTCGGATCTCAGTTGGGATCGAACGAAGAAGGAGTCCTGGCGCACTCCGCGTGCCAGGGAGGGTGTTCCAGAGCCTATCCAAGAAATTAGCGCAGACCTCCGAAAGATTATGCGTATGCCGACGCGTCTTCTCCTGATTCACGAACCCAAGGGGTGACAAGATTGAAGCGACTGACAGCTTCCTCGAGGACTCGTGCCGACTTTCCCAGAAGAGGCATTAGAGACCACCCTCGTTGGCAATTTTAGAAAGTTGACACCCTACTCATACCCCGACGTCATGATTGTTGCACAACGTTCACCCCCTGTTCCCCAGGATCGGCTTTTCATCCCGAGTAATTGTTTGACGGTCCTGGGGCCCAGCGAGGGCCCCCACAGCTCGAAAATAGCCAAAAAAGCAAAACAGGCAAAAATCGTCGTGATTTGTACCACGACGCGATGTGGTCTGGCTCTCACAGACGGCGGAGGACCATCAAGCGGGGCACACAGAAGGGTCCAGAGGCGAGATTGCTCGCTCCCCTGCCGGTGCGAGCATCGCCTCTCCCCCTGCAGCGTGCGGGGATTAGGAGCTGCCGGAGCGGTGTGGGCCCCGGGAGGTGCCCGGGGGCGAGCCCGCTCTTCCGACATTGCGAGCACCGCCTCGCTTGGAGGTCTGCGAGGGTCTCTGGAATTCTCATACGTAGATCGAGCATCAAAAGACCGCCCAAGCATATGTTGTCAAAGTTTCGCGCGGATTTCTCGGATCGGCGTCGGGACCCCCTGGCAGCGCCTCCAGCGCCGCCCCCGGCGCGCTCCCCGCGCCAGGGAGCGGGGTCCAGCGCAGATCCAAGAAATCCGCGCAGACCTCGAAAAGTGGATGGTTTTGAAGTGTTTTGTTCCTCGAGGCCTGTGGAGCTCTGACGGAGCTCTCTCTCTGAGTCTCCGCGGGGCCCCCGGGTAATTAGGGTCCACGGAAGCTTCCAGAGCGCTAGTGCTCAACCACGGAGTTCTTGTTGAATTCGGTCATCCAGCTTCTGCGCGGAAGACCGCCGAAGGCCTCGAGAGACCGGCGGCCACCAACAAAGACCGTTGGGCGATTACCGCCGAAAGACAGCCAGCCGAAGGGCCGCCGATGACCACCGAAGGGCCGCTGATTTTCGCAGAGATCGGATGGGTAGTAAGGAGTCCACGGCTGAACACGTGGTGGAACCATAAAGCCCAAAACAAGAAAAGCAGTCCTCGAGCTTCGAGCCACCCCGGCGTCCCGAGAACGACAAGCTGCGGGAGCGGTGGGACAAGACAAAGACCTTCACACAGAACTTGGCGATGACGGACGTCAAGGACGCCGCCGCGCCTCGGCCACCGCGGCCCCTGCCCCCTGCCACCTCGGCCTCCAGGAGCTGTTCCTGGCCCTGGGACCGACAGAAACTGGCACAGGATCAAAAAAGTGGCCCTCGGGATCGGAGGAGAGCCAATTGAGACAACGGCGGCCCTCCCGCCCGGCACACATCCGCTCAAGATCGGTCCCCAGACCCATCCCGGGATCCATCTTGACCCCATGTTCGAGGCGGGATCCAGATGTGGCGACGAGAATTTTCAAGGAAGCCCGGAGAGCACGAAAGGGAAGGGGGGCCGCCGTTGATCCGGGACCAGTCCACGCCATGAAGAAGCGCGATGTTTGGGGCTTGGGTCTAGGGGATACGGTCAGGAACTTTGGTTCAGCGTGTCGCTCCGAGAGAACTGGCCCACCACGCTTCGGCGCGATGCGCTATCCACGTCCTCATTACCAGGCGTGTCGCTGGGGCCACCACGGCGACACGCCAAGCAAAAGTTCCCCACCGTAATCCGCAGGCTGGCGGCGCCTCTGGCGCCGCCCCTCGCGCGCTTCGCGCGTCAGGGGAAGGGGGGTCCAGCTCCGACCCGAGAAAGTCGACAAGCTGGGAAGCTGGCGCGTCTGTACGCCGAGCTCCTCGGCCGGCCAGACGACTTGGTATATACCTCGAGCCCCTCCCATCGGTGCGCCGGCCATGCTGTAAGGAGCGCTGGTCGCACGGGCCTCGCCCCGCAGCACGCGCGCAACGAAGCCTGGGGCCCGCGGCGTGGTTCGGCGGAGCGCGGTCGTGCGCCGAAACGGCCTGCGGGGAGGCGGAGGAGGGAAGAGGCAGGATGCCTGGGAGGAGGTGGGCGCCGGAGCGAGGGAGGCTGGCCGTGATGGCCCCCGCCACTGCCGCAAGGCAGAACGACGAGGTCCCCCAGTCTGGCGTCAACTGCTGGCGCCCCGAGGGGCTGAGGCTTGCAGCAGCAGAGGGCGGCGAGAGGGCGGGACGGGCGGGAGGGGACTGCAGGGGAAGCGCCAAATAAGAATGGGTACGCCCGACCAGCAGCTGTTGCGCGCGCATCACTGTCTTGCTCCTCCTCCTCCTCCTCCTCCTCGTCCTCGCTATTCTCCTCGTTCCCTTCGCCGTCCTGCTTCTCGTCGTCATCCTGCCCTCCCCCGCCCCACCTTGCTCATCGTCATGTCTTCCTATCTTTTCGTTCCGCCTCCCGTCCGCCTCAATGGTCGCCGTTCAGTGCTGCTGTTGAGGGAGCCTTTCCCCTCCGCCTCCTCATCTTTTCCGAATCCCATCCTCGTTCCCTATCCTTTCCGACCCTTCTATTATACCCGCCGCTACTCATATACCTCCCCCCTCGCATCCTCCATCTCCTCGTACGTCTCATCATCACATTGATCTTCTTCATCATCATCATCATCAGCAGCAGCAGCATCATCATCATGAGCAGCATCATCATCATCTTCATCATCAGCAGCAGCAGCATCAGCATCAGCATCAACATCAGCATCATCATCAGCGTCAGCATCAGCATCGTCATCATCAGCATCAGCATCATTATCAACAGCAGCAGCAGCATCAGCAGCACCATCATCATTATCATTATCAGTGTATTGTCCTGATCGTTATCATTATCACCACCCGCGCCCCTGAGGAGATGTACTCGTCCTGCTTCCCGGACGAGAAAGACATCCCGACGAAGCCAAAGCACCTCCCCAAGGTCTCCCAAAGAAGCACCACGGGGGCGGAGTCGGAGTTGGGAAGGGGAGGAGCAGAAGGAGGAGGAGGAGGAGGACGACGACGACGACGGATGGTCGCGTCCATCGGACTCTCAGACCATCAGAAGCTCTGTGGCTCAGTGGCTCAGGAGGAGGACGACGAGGAGTGGGGCGGGGGAGGAGGGGTGGTGGAAAGGAAGGAGGAGGAAGAGGATGAGGGGAATTGCAAGATCAAGGGAAAACAGGAACAGGGAGGATGATCAGAGGAGGGGGAGGAGTGGAAGAAAGGAAGGATGAGTGAAAGGATGAGAAGGAGGAGGAGGAGGAGGAGGAGGACGACGGGGCGGACGCGGAGGAATTTCATGATTACAATCAGGAGGTGCAGGAATACGATACGGAGCAATACGCGGAGGAAGGAGGCCGCTCGATGTGCGCTAGCCATCGTTGACCCCGAACAGTGTGTCTCGGGGAAAACATGTGGTGCAAACTACGCTGCGCAACTCACTCCCCGAACTCGAAGTTGACAACTCCACTGCTCGCACAATCATCCCACCCACCCACTCGCAACTTGGTTTGCAAAACCCATGCGGGAGCGATTGCGATGAGTGCTGGATGTTGGCTGGTGCATATCAGCGGCCGCGCTAGCCCGCGCATGCTCGCGCGCGCAGCGGCCAGCTAGTTTGGCGCGACCGACGCGAACGCGGTGGCGCTGACCGCTCGGCACATCCCAGCGGGCACTTCAGTGCGAGTCGGCGATTTGGGCGGGCGCAGTATCATGGCAACGTCGATACCGGTAGACACGATAATGATAGTAGCGATGCTGGCGACGATGCTGACAGCGACGACGGGGCAGCCAGTGACGGCGCCGATGCTGAGCACGCCGACGGCGATGACGGCGTCTTCGCGCCGGCGAAGAAGCTTTTGAAAGGATTCGAAATGCGCGCGCGGCAGACGCGCGAGAGTGGCTCGCATGGTTTCATTTGACACGGATCGTGCCACCCCAGCAAGCGCGTAAGGGCGTTCGAGCGATTTCGACGCGCGCGCGAAGCCGGTTTGGTAGCATTTTATGAAAATGTTGAACGACGTGCGGTTTTCTGAAGAATTCGCAAGAGCGCACGCGCACGCTTTAGTTGAACATCCGTGTTACGAAATCATTGTTTTTTTTTCTGAGTTTTGGGGGACACTCGATTTTGAAATCCGTCCGAAACCGAAAGGCTCCTGAAGGATGTCGGCATGCGCGCGCGACGACGCGCGCGCGTGCACTTCGTCCTTTTTTTTCTGTTGCACAGAGTTCCTGGAAACTCCTGATTTTTGATAAACGAGCGCGCGCGCATAGTATGTGTTGCAGGGGAACCGAGGGGGGAACGATTCTGGCCTGGCTGGGGTATTATGATTTCACAAGTAGGATGGACATGTGGGTCAAAATCATACTTGTTTTGCGTAGGTTCACGGGGAGTCGATAAGTCCGGGGGGGTAGAAATTATCTCCTGGTTGGAGCGGGAAATTCGTTGTGTGCGTCACATGTGCTGTGCATTCTGCCATGTGCATTTTGTAGCCTGTATGTGCAAAATGTTGTGTGCCAATTGCGTTGCCCAGTATACGGTGTGCAATCTATGCGGCGCCATCTCTTGTAGTACAGCCTATGTGGTACACCCTATGTTGTGCAGTATATGTGGAGGTATGTGGTACAACCTATGTGGCGCAACTGACACGAACTTCCTTGCGCGCAACCACCTCCCCATGCTCGCGCAATCATCCCACCGACCTACCCGCAATTTGGTTTGCAAGACCCATGCGGCGGCGAGCGCGATGGCGGGTTAGCGCCGGCTGGTGCATCGCTGCGGCCGCGCCAGCGCGCGCAGGCTCGCGCGCAGAGCGGCCAGCTAATGTGCCACGACCGACGCGGCCGTTGTGGCGTTGACAGCAGTGGACCCCCCAACGCGTCTCGCACGCCGCGCTTACGCGCGGGCACTTCGAGTCGGTGATCCAGGCGTGGGTGGTATCATAGCGACGTCGGCAACGGCAGGGACGATGATGATAGTAACGATATTGGTGGCGATGGTGGTGATGACAAGTGCGATTCCAAAGGATGATCACGCCGATGACGATGATGGTACCCATGAGCCGGTGATGAACCATTTGGAAGGATTTCGACATGCGCGCGCGACGGACGGCGCGAGTGGCCAGCATGGTATTATTGTGTTGGTCTCCAGCCAATGCCGCCGATATGGGGCGCTCCGGATAATGATGATGATGCTGATGGTGATGATCATGATGATGATGCTGATGTTGATGATGATGATGATGAGGAGGAGGAGGAGGAGGAGGAGGAGGATGGTGGTGGTGATGGTGATGGTGATGTTGATGATGTTATGTATCTTGGTAATGGCCATGGGGCCATCATGAGAGGGCTTAATCGGCTACAAGTAGGTAAGTACTGCCAGGTTCGCCCCGTCGTTCGTCCGCCGCGCGGCGCCAGTGGGTAAGTCATCCAGGTTCATGCCGTCGTTCGTCGCGGCCACCACTTGACCTGAAGTAAAACGCCAGCATGTTGGAAGGAATGCGCGCGGGGCCCCATCGGCCCCGATTCCTATTGGAAAGCCAATGGCGTTTTGACTGGTTCTCTGGATTTGGGATTTTCGTTTTTCTTTGCTTTTCGTCTTGCGATCCTGGCTCAGAAGCAAAATAACATCCACGAGGTAAAATGCCAACATGTTGGAAGGAATGCGCGTTGGGCCCCATCGGCCCCTATTCCGATTGGAAAACAAGTGTTTTTTTTTTTTTTTAAAAAAAAAAAAAAAAAAAAAAAAAAAAAAAAAAAAAAAAAAAAAAAAAAAAAAAAAAAAAAAAAAAAAAAAAAACGGATTTGGGAATTTTGTCTACGTTTCTCCGTCTGGCCAGCTCGGAGACCGAACCGAATCCAAGAGGTAAACCACGAACATGTCGAAAGGAACGCGCGTGGGGCCCCACAGGCCCCGATAGTATCAGGAGTTGTGCATTATCCAGTTATGCGCCCATCGCGAAAAGTTAGTATTTCGAGGTTGTTGTATGTGTTGTTCGTCGCTTGAGTACAGTAGTTCACGTCGAAATTCGAATTTGTTTGTCGTTGTTCGACAAGTGTGGATATGCTCATTCATGTCGCATTGCTTGTCGATGAAAAAGGGACTTCAGTATTCAGGAAAATCAGTTCGTTTGCTGCTTTTTCTCAAGTATGTAGTTCAATCTATAGGGCCCCCCTCATGGGCCATTTCGGGCGTCTTGGACCGATCGTTCGGTGATTGGGGGCGTTCTTGGGTCGTTTGGAGGGCCTCTTGGGGCGTTGGACCGTCTGGGGCCTCTCTTGGGGTCGGAAGGGTCATGCGGGAACATTCTGGAGGCACCAGAGAACGCGCGGGGAGCCTCGAGAGATTTGAGAGCTTGGGGTCCGGGCCCATGAAGAATCCTCAGGTTTGAGGGCTGAGGCTCAGGGGATTGAGCAAGGAACCTTGGGAAGCCTCTTGGGTGTCGTTTTGGGGTTTTGGGGGGGCCTGCGGCCCCCCCGCCCCCGAGCACGAATAGCGTCGGGAATGGCGCCCCCCCCCTTCCAGAGCCTCCTGGAGGCTTTTTGGAAGCCTCTTGGCCCCCCCGCCCCCGAGCACTAGATGCGTCGGGAATGGCGCCCCCCCCCCTTTCACGGCGAAGCTTGAGCGAGCTCAAGTCCACGCTCTCAGAAACTCACACGCTGGATCGGCGGATTTGACAGGGGTCGTGCCCCCCCCCACACGCAGAAAGCGCACGAAGGCGTTCGAATGATATCGGCCTGCGCGCACGAGAAAGCCCCGTTTGGTCTCAGCAGGTGAAAATGTTGAAAGCGTATGGTATCCGTCAGAACTCGCAAGAGCGCGCGCGCAGATTTGCTTGGCAAAATCCTCTTGCGGGGATCTTGGTTCGTAACATGTGTTCGGTACACTCGATTTTGAAACCCGTGTGAAACATATATGTGTTCGAATAATTCGGGCATGCGCTCGCGACGACGCGCGCATTTCGTCCCTGTTTCTGCAAAAGGACTATCGAAAACTGCGTGCGTAGTATTATTAGAGAGGGATGACGGGGGGAGGTCGATACCGGCCGGGTCCCCTCATATGTAAATTTCACGATCCCAGGGGGTGCCGAAAATTCCGGGGGGGGGGAGGAGATTCGACGTTGTCAATCCAGGCGGGGGTGGGATGGGCGGCGACAGCTGCCATATAGCCGCCTGAGTGGCCGTCAGGCCCAAACGACGGGCGGCGACGAGTCGGCGACGGGGCGGCGACGGCGGCCACATAACAGCCAGACCTGCCGCCAAACCAAGTTCCTTAGGCAAAAGTAAGAACCCCGAAGTGCAAGTATTGTTTCTTGAATATATGTACATGATATCGAAGACGCCTACGGCGAATCACTGCCGCCCCATGCCTTTTAGAATCGCCCATGTGGCCGAACGTTGTGGCCTGAGCTCTGCCAAGCTATCCGACCATGTGCTCCCCCAGCCATGGTGGAAACCCTGCGGGAAAAAGAGAAGGAGCGAAACAAAAAAGGACGAATAGACAGGAGGACGAGGAAAAAGAGGAGGCGGAGGAGGAGGCTGATGACGAGGAAGGGGACTCTTGGGGCCTTTTGAAAGTTTGTTGGTTGGCCTTTCGGAGGCCCTTTGGCAGCCTCCTTGTGCCTCTTGGTGGCCTTTGGGGGTTCCTCGGGGGCTTGCTTGCCAGTCTTAGGGCGTTCCTGGCCCGCCTGACGTCGTCGGAAATCGTTTGGGGGGCCTCTCTGGACCGACTTGGCGCCCTCCTGGTGCGCTGCAGGGCCGTCTTGGACGCCACCATTCTGAAGGCCTCTTGGGCCTTTTTGGGGCACAGTTGGGGTCGTTTTGGAGGCTTCTTGGGCCGTCATACGGGTCATCTTGGAGGCATTCGGGACCATTTTGTGGCGATCTTGGGCCGACTTAGACCGTCGGAAGGCCGAAAAGAAACAAAGGGTAAAATCATTG